TGTTGTTGTTGTTATTGGTATTGTTGTTGTTTCGATTTTGATTGTTTCGACCATGTTTAGACGTCTGCGGCCCTGGCTAGCCTGGAGACGGCGTGGTACCCAGCAATGTTTAGGCCACCTTTTCTAGGCCCTTCCCCTCGTGGGGGCTGGCAGTGCCATCCCTGAATAGGGCTGCCATGTGCCGTTGTGGCACGGCCGAACTCCACTATGGGACCACGACTTCGGGTTGTAGTGGAGAGCGACTCGAATTCGCCGTAAGCCGCGGTCTCCGTCGGCGAGGATGGGCGCGTCAAGGCGATGTCGATGTGGAGATCCATCCCGTCACCGGCTGTCAAGCGACGTGCAGAGACGAACCACGTCACGACGGTGCCGACGCAAGGTTCCATCCGACCTTCCATCCAGCGGAATCCGCAAACCCTGTGCACACGGCACAGCGCACAGGGCCCCCTCACCTGGTTTAGCCCGCCGGTCGAGACGGTTGCCCGGGGTGTGGCCGCTGAGCAGAGCCCAGCTACGTGGAGCCACAGGTGAGAGTTGAGTGCCAGCAAGTGGACGCTAGGCGCAGTCTCACCTGCAAGCAAGTGAGCGACCACCACGACCATTACGTGAACCCACCGCTGACACCCCTACACCCCAGGCGCATGATATAGGTAATAACATTTTACCTATATCATGCGCCGCTGTGCGGCTGCTGGCTGGGCTCGAGAGAAAGCCCGTAAGGCACAACGGGACGAGTGAGTTCCGTAAAAGCGATCGGTGAGCCATTTCTGGCTTATTAGTCGTCACCAGTCAGCCATACCGAACCCCAGGGCGGCCGCGCTTGCCTTTTGACTCTGTCAGAACTGATCAGATCCTTTTACGCAACACCTGGTCCGCGGGATGCAGGTCTATAGTTCAGTCGAATGTTCCAGTGGAGGACAGACTCTCAAGTACCACTCTGGCCAACTTTTCATTGGCTCGGCCGACTACCCCCAGCTTCTCAGAGGCGAAATTCTGGTTCAGCTATTGTATGCGGCCGTATATCCAAAAATAGCTTGGCATTGCTGCTGATGGCAGGTTGGCGTTCGTTCAATCTTGTGCCGAGGCGCTTGTCCGTTTCACCAACACATCTTACATCGCAGTTTTGGCATTATATGCTGTAGACCACTGCTGATTGTTCTGTTACTGGTAGCAGATCTTTGGGCCTCACTATTTGCTGTCTAATGGTTGATTCCGGTTTATGAGCCACGCAAATCCAAAAATGTTTTCGGATTCTCGCTGTCGCCTCTGAAACGTTCTTCAAAAAGAGGGTTGCGGGCCAGAACTTCGGCGTTTTCTCGCCCATCACTCAGAATAAGGCCGCTTGAGGGACTTGTGTGTGTGATGAACTCCGGATAACCGTTGGGGTTAAATAGGACGTGTACGTACTTCATTTCTTTCCCGTCACTGTCGTCATTGCAGTGTGTTTGAGTACGCTCTAAGGGGATTCTGACACAACTGAGTTTGTGACCAACAGGGTGGTTGCTTCGGAAGTGGAGGACGTGCCTACTACTGGTTGCCTAACGGTAGACCGTTGTTTCTATCCCCAAGTCTGTCAGTTTTGCCGTTTGTACGCCAAGGTAAGGCAACTGTTGGTTGACTCCTGCTCCATAGTAAACCAGATGTCGAGAATGATGGAGTTTAGCAACACCTTGAAAGCCTGCACGTTGTTCCCCTTAATCACGATGAACGTGTCTTCGACGTATGCGACCCAGATTTTCGGGGGGTACCAGTTGAAGGCCAGCTGTTCGAACCCCTGCAGAACTGTTTCGGCAATTAGTCCAGACAGAGGCGAGCCCGTCGGTGTCCCCTCATTTTGATCATAGACCTCACCGTTGGATGTGAAGAAGGTTCTAAAACACAATTCTAGGAGCTCGATGATTTGCACTCGTTTGAACTGCTGGTCGGCCTCACCATATTTTTCCCCACAGAAAGCCGCCGTCACCCGCGTCGATAACCAGTCAGCTGAAATAGAGATGAATAATGAGATCACGTCAAATGACATAATTACCAATCAACATACCTCGAATTGCAATTTAGACAAGATATGCTGTAGATAACCGCGGGTCTTTGGGGTTCATGAATCGCTGTCTGATGGTGTATTCTGGTTTATGAACCACGCCAATCTCAAAAGGTTTAAGGATTCTCGCCGTCGCCTCTGATACGTTCTTCATATAGGGTATTGAGAGCCAGAACTTGAGCTTTTCTCCGCTCGACCGTTCAAAATGAGGCTTTTTGAAGCAATTACATATGAAGGATTTCGGATAGCCATTGGCTTTAAAAGGGGCCTGTACGTAATTCGCCTCCTCCTTCCTCCCACTGTTGTCGCTACAGTGTGTTTGAACACGTTGAAAGAGAGTTCTGACACAACTGCGTTTATGACCAACAGGGTGGTTGCTTCGGAAGTGGAGAATGCGCCTAGTATTTGTTGCCTCACGGTAAATCGTTGTCCTTATCTTCCCGTCTGTCAAATCCGTAATTTGTACGTCCAGGAAGGGCAACTGATTGTTGACTTCCTCTTTCATAGTAAACTGAATGTCGAGAAAAATGGAGTTCAACAATGCCTTGAAAGTCTTCACCTCGTTCCTCTTGATTACAACGAACGTGTCGTCGATGGATGTGACCCAGAGTTTCGGGGGGTACGAGCTGAAGACTAGCAGCTCGAGCCCCTGCAGAACTGTTTCGGCAATTAGTCCAGACAGAGGCGAGCCCATCGGTGTCCCCTTCTTTTGCTCGTAGACTTGGCCGTTGAATGTAAATAAGGTCTTAAGACACAGTTCTAGGAGCTTGATGATTTGCACTCGTTTTAACTGCTGGTCGGTCTCACCATATTTTTCCCCACAGAAAGCCGCCGTCACTTGTGTCGACAGCCAGTCAGCTGAAATAGAGATGACGTCAAATGACATCATTACCTCGCCTGTCTCTACTTCGAGATGTTGGATGCGCGTCAAAACCCCTTCAACCGACTCCACTGTCTACTCCGAATCCTTGGCTAGCAAAGAAAGTCGCTGGTACAGCCACACTCAGACAGCCCAGTGGTTGGGGTGCCACGTAAAGGCGCACTCCTGGCTTGATACAGGCCGTCGAAGGGCGTCTTGATGGCATCAGTGGCATTTGTGGTTAAATCTTCCCTTCCCAGTGAGAACCTGTCTCGTGTTCTAAAAATGTCTCGAGGGAACAAGCGTCTCTACCGAACCCTGCATAAGGTACATGCTCACATTGTTAACTGAAATTATTTCCCGCCTAAACACGAACTCACGTTCGTTCTCCAGTTTTTAATCGCTTACGGTTGGTCAAACACGGTGCGCCCTTTTTCACCTGCAGTAAGACAAACAGCCTTGCACATAAGTGCAGAAAAAAGGCGTTTCCCTGCATAACACAGGCAGGATTGATAGTTCATTTAGAAGCCACTATCCCCTTGGGATTGCAAGTACTGTGATTGGAGCATGAGGCAGACTTTCTCTGAGCTCTCGTTTGTCGGTAATCCTTCTCTGTATACATATATGTGACTGCCGACGGGGCTGTAGATTGAGCCCATAGACACAATGGGATGAGAAGGTCCCGTAACGCGATTGATGAGCGTCCACTACCACGTTTGATATACCTGATCGCAACCGACAGGACAACGAGCCTGTGACTCAGTGGTCATGGCGTCGGACTTCTGATCGGTGGAGCGCCGGTTCGAGTCTCAGGGGTTTCAAACCTGGGGTTGTGCATGGCTAGGTGATGATGCTTAATAAGGCAGAAATGGCTATTCCATTGTACCTTGTCCTTGTCGGTGTATTTATTCAGCATCTATTAGTAGTAGCTTTACAACTGCATGCGTGGCTACGTAACCCGACCGACGAATGCCCTTCAAAGAAAGTTAGTACGCCCGATCGCGCTCGACAGGACAACGGGCACGTGGATCAGTTGGTGGAGTGTTCGACTCAATGATCAAAGATCTCGGATTCAAATCGAAGGGGTTGCAGACCTGGGGTTGGGTGCTGCTGGCTGATGACGGTTACCAAGGCCAGAAATGGCCATTCCGTTCTCCCTTGGCTTTGTCCGTACTCCTTTCAACGTATATTCATCCTTGTTATGCGACTGCATTCGTGGGCTCTAGATTGGCCCCCAAGACACAACAGGAGGAGCTTGCCGCGCTGTTGGATTGTTGTCCTAGGAGACGCATGGAAAAGATAACACAATCTAGTTGTCTCTTCGACTCAACCTTGCTGCCAGCAATCACAGTCTGGTTTTGGGAGTGAGTTCCATGACCGGACCAGCCACCAATCAGAATAAAGCCTTTTTTGATCCAGATGCGCGCGTTCACGTTCTACCTTGCATGCATGACCACGTAGGCGGCCAAAGGGTTACGTGAGGACCGATAGCTCTATGTACCGTGTGAAACGAACCCTGTAAAAGCGCTGACACGCGAAATTAATGCAACGTTGCTGACCTGGGAGAACTCAGGTGCAATAACACCGACCGACAGACGCATGGCGAGACCCCAAGATACGGCTTTGGCCCGATTCTATGACCTCCCTAAGGTGCACAAAGACGGTGCTCCTTTCCGACCCATCGTGTCGCTCAAAGGTACTCCAACGTACGGACTGGCTAAGTGGCTATTCCGGAGTCCCAAGTTCCCGACCGCTGAGTCAGACACCACGGTTTCTTCGTCAGCACAATTCCTGGAGAAGCTCAAAGGGGTAAGCCTCCATCCAAATTATATCATGGTATCTTTTGATGTTACATCCCTTTGTACTTCTATTCCCCAGGACCTGACGATCGAGACAATCGAGCTGCTTCTACAAAGCAAATACGATGAAACGGAGAATCGTCTTGGACGCGCCTAAGTCCTTCAGCTCCTGATGATCTGTCTCAGGACGTACTTCACGTTCGACGGGACAACCTACGAACAGGTGAAGGGCACACCAATGGGTTCGCCAATTTCTAGGTTCATCGTCGAGGCGGTCCTGCAACGGTTAGAGTCGCTGGTCTTCCAACACCACAGACCGAAGTTCTGGGTCCGGTATGTGGATGATATTTTCGTAGTTATCGGCCGGGACCAACTGGTGACATTTAGGGAGCGTCTGAATGCGGTCTTCCCGGACATACAATTTACGATGAAGGAGGAAGAGAACAACCAACTGGCCTTCCTGGATGTCCTCGTACGCCTCAAAGATTGTGGTGGCTTAAAAACCAAAGTATTCAGGAAAGCAACAAACACAATGCAAGTACTGAACTTCATCAGCAACCATCCAATCAGCCACAAAAGCAGTTGTGTAAGGACGCTCTATCGGCGTGTCGAAACGCACGGGACCTCAGTCCATCAACAAGTGCAACGACATCCCCACTCCATATTCCTTGCTGAGGCATAGGCTGGCAAAAGTAATTGACCACTCGAGGGACGCTCAAGCCGGTGAGTCAGATGGCCGAGCAATCATCACGCCAGCACCCAACACGGGTGATGACATTTCGGCAATTAACAACCTATAGAAGCGAAGAGACGAGTCCCAGGCAGTAGTCTTGAAGAAGGAGACACGATCGCCGGGACAAGAGCTTTATTAGCCTGACGTTTCGGATTCCTACTCGAATCCATCATTAGAGGCAAAAAAGCAGAAATGGGTGGTTGTTGCACAAGGGGCTGCGGTATTTATAGGATGCAGTAGCCATGCTACCGCATACCTATGAACATTCATGGCTCCCCCCTTCATCCGGGATCGTCGCACTTGGTGTGATCATTGCTTGACGGCCGACATTCGAGTCGATAACTGCTGCAATTTCATCACGTGCGTTGGATGTTGGCGTGATGACTGCTCGACCATCTGACGCACCGACACCGGTGTTGGGAAAAGTGTTCACCTCTGCCCTCCCCGCATGGCTTGTTACTCCGCCTAGGCGAAGTTTTAGTACGGAGTATGGAGTCGGAAGATCGTTGCACTTGTTGATGGACTGGGGGCCTGTAAACCATGATTCTAGTAGATCCCGGCTCACGCGGTTGTCACCTCTTGCGAGAATTTCGGCCTCATCGAATTTGAATGTGTGGCCGGATCTCGTCGAATGAGCCGCAACTTGAGAGCTGGCGTTATTTCTGCGCACCGCTGCCGCGTGTTCGGCCATTCTCGTTCGGAGCTGTCTTCCGGTTTCTCCGACGTAGTTGCTTCGTCTGCAACTGCACCAGATCCGATAAACGATTCCAGACGTTTCTAGCCGTGGCAGTGGGTCTTTCGGTTTCATAACCAGACGCCTGATGGTTGCCTCCGGTCTGTGTGCCACTCCAATCCCAAGTGGTGCGAGAAGGCGGCCGACAGCTTCCGAAACGTTCTTGACATACGGAAGTGCCCGCCAAGACTTGGTGTCCGCGCGGTTAGGCCTTTCGTCCCTTTTGCGTATGCACCGGTCGACGAAGTTGCGCGGGTAGCCATTGGCTTTGAAGACCCGTCGGAGGTATTGTAGTTCGGCACCATGACCATGACAAATGCACTTGTGCTGCCCCCGCCACATCATCATCATCATCATCATCATCATCATCATCATCATCATCATCATCATCATCATCATCTTCTTCTTCTTCTTCTTCTTCTTCTTCTTCTTCTTCTGATAAAGAGAACTCTACTGGATTCCGACCTACCCTCTTCCTATTCGAGATCGGACCTACTGTCTGCTTAAGACCTCAGCTGACACGGCAAAGTCCAACGGATATACGAAATATCCACTTGAAAAGCTCAGGGCGAAAGCCAAATGGAGGTCTGGCAAAGTCAATGCATGCTTTTGGATTCTTTCAGAATCAATTTCCTTTTGGTTGATGACGAAATCAAGTTCGTTGTAGTCACCCAGAGGTCGAGATCCCTAGACGATTCCGCAGTTTTTTGATGGAATTTCATTAATGCAGTAGTGTTGCGTCGGGGAAGTCTAAAGATGGGAGGGGTGGGGTGTAGGACCTCAACTAACTTGAGGTAACCTGCGGAACGTTTTGTGGGGTCCTAAACCCTATCGTTAACTTTCCTCGAACTCCTGGCTGAATGAAAACTTACCACCGGCGGTTGATTCGGATTTTGTTTAATTTTGCAAATTGCTTTCTGTTCATTTTTTTAATTATCGCGCTCACGTTAGTTGCCATATGACAAAGTGTGGTAAGACTTCCCACAGGAATTTAATTATTTTGCGCGTTTTCTTTCATTCCGCCTGCTCCCCGTCCAGCGTTTTGCCCCACCCACAAAACCTGCCCTAACCACAATTCACGTATTACACGGATCACAGGCTACCTCAAGTTATTTGGGGTCCCACACCCTACTGTTGCCTCCAAGATTACATATTTTGGCGCGGCAAACGCAGGAAGCCGATTGACTGGCTAGGCAGCCGGTTTAATAATGTTTTTTTTCCGCAATTTATTTGCGTCGTTAACGTTTCTGACTGTCAAAAGAAGAAGAAGAGGCGTTCACCGGGAGGGGTTTATTGGAGGTCCGACATTTCGAGTAGTTGATTCGTCTACCCATCTTCAGAGACTGGAAAGTCCTGCGCACAGCTCCCCTTATATGACGCACTTTGTTCAATGCGTGACCCGCCAATGCCGCCTGTGTGGCTGCATCCAGTCCACAGGCCTGACTCAACAATCCGCCGGCAAGTGATGCGGCCAAAAGATTCGATCCCTAAGCAGGAGATGTCGGCCGTTTTTCTACCGACTTCCATGCAGCTGCGGAAGGTGCAACTACGTTGGGGAAACCGGCCGAGGGCTGCAAACACGAATGCACGAGCATAAGTTGGCCGTGCGAAGGTTGGACCCAAAGTCGGAGGTAGCAACCCATGCCGCGCAAATGGGACACACCTACGGCTTTGACGCCGTTGAGCTTGTGGGTCGGGGCGATGATCATACAGCAAGGCAAGTGCAAGAAGACTGGATGTCCACCGACCGCTCTGTCAACCG